TTACTTATATATATATATATATATATATATATACACCCTTGATTTAGACTTTGCCCCCACCCCCCTGGAGAAATTTCTCATGCTCATGGGGGTCATATTTAAAGTTTACTGTGCTTTGATTCTTGGCTGTATTTTCAGTGCAAACTAGAAATATAAAATTCAATGGAAATTTTCAGTTCCAACCATCTCAGCCACATCTTGATAACTGGGAGCCTACACTTGCTGATGTGTGCATTTACTGGCTTGCAGTGAAACATCGCAAATCGAATAGTCTTTGCATAATTATGTCAATTTGGACTTTATAATACTATTTTATATAAATTCAAACTCTGTACTAGTCTTTTTGGTAATATTTAATTATATCATAAATATCATGTATTCGAAAAAGTACAATTTAATAAATATTTTCAGGTGTCTGGTAACTCTTCGTAGGCAACCTGAAATTTGGCAACCCCTCATTATATGAATAGTATTCCTAAATTTTATCATTTTAGAAATATTATGTAGCTGTAACATGAATAAAAACTGCTAAACCTAAGTTTTTATTTTCTTATAATGAAAGCTTTTAAAACAAACCAGCAAACACCACTAGTTTTTCTTAACTTTGAAACCATTAGGTAAAAACGAATGTTATTTTATAATTCTTCTTATACTACTTACTCTGTGTTATTGAAATGTATGTTTCACTTTAATAAGAGTTTTTTGTCTTCCCCCTTTTTAAAGTAAGTTAGGCTAATATTCTTAACTTTGTTTAATGCAAATTGTAGTCTATTACAAGACATTTTTATTAATATAAATAAAATAATGACATTCATCTCCAGAATGTATCTTTATTAGCTCAATGTTTACTATTACAGCTTTATGAGGAGCTATCGATAACTTACAAGTTCAATAATTAAATAATCAGTAGCTCCTGACGAAGCTCTAATAGTGAAATATTGAGATAATAAAGATACATTCTGGAGATAAAGATCATTATTTTATTAAAATTGGTAGAAATGTTAGCAAAATTTGAGGCATTGGTTAATTTTTGGTTTGAACCGTAAATAGTTTCCATAAAATTGTGAGTTTACTTTCATAAACAGATCTGTATGTATGTGTTAATAGAAGTATAATGTTGAATATATAATTTTTTGTTTTCTAATTTAGGGTTACATGCATTATGTATAATGCTGATTTCTTAATTCATTATAGATATCAGAATCCTTTTAATAAATAATATTTGGGTCAGTAAATGGTAGAATGGTGAATAATATTTCCTCAGCTTTTAATCTGCTCACGTTCTGTTTTTGCATAAATGTACTACTTAGAAATGTTCAGTGGAAAATGTGGAAATCTTCAGCAATACCTGTTTAAGCTTTTGTTTTTATTGAGGTGATTATAAAGAAAGATAAAAGTGTGATGGCAATTGAAAGAAGATTTATATTCAGAACTTAACAAAAGCCATTTAAACCCCTGCTTTAAAAAATGTTTCATGTTTAAACTCCAAAATTAAATTGTATTAGCTATAATGAACATTTTTGTAGATTTACCAATCTTTAAAAAATATTAAAATTAGAAAATACAACTATTAAACTGGTGATAAGGTGGAACTTGTGAGAAAGCACTAGAGAACATTTCTGTTGTGGCTATCTTATTGAGACAGCTGAGAAAGGTAAACTCAGTGTGATCGTTAACTTGACTATTAGAATCTGCTAGCGTATAGCTTATGTAAAACATTATGGGGCAAGTACTCCCACCCCCAATCCCTCCAGTTGCATCAACATCTAGCAATATCAAATGTCTATAACCTATTAGGGCATTAAGGTTATGTTACCAGGCTGTTAAATGTACTGTGCTATTGTATGGGTTTCACAAATGACAGGAAGAATTGTAATTAGTTAGATTAACAACTTCTGATATGTAGAAAAGCCAGTGCATTTCAGTAACACTAAGTTCCAACAATGGTTGTTATGTCATGTTGCTTAGCAATTAAAGTGTAATCTAATATTGTTGTTAGTCTGTGTACTGAAAGTATAAAATGAAATGTATAGACAACAAATATGGAAAAATATTTGTTGATTTCTTAATTTAGAGTCTCTGTTGATTAAACAGGTTTGTTTTTTTATAGAAAAAAACGTTGGTGATGTAATAGAAAATAACTTAATTTAGAAATGATTTAAGTTTAAAATTGAATCAATATTTTTACTTTAATGATAAATTTTATGCACTTGGCTTTAGGCTAGGTGATCCCGACCTATGTGTACTTTAGGCTTATTTTACTAACACTCACTACACTTATAAGGTTTCATGGCACACACTCATGGCCCTCTTGCACCCCAATCAGTAAAATTTTAATGGGCAGATAGCAATCGGACTATTCTATTTGGGATAAATGCATTTTCAAGAAATCAAGTATGATGTGACATGTCGCACACTGGCTTTTATGTAAGTTAGATAAGGCTTAGAAAAATGGTACTATAGTGATGTTTTTAGGCTGTAAGAGAACTAAATGATTTTATGTGTTTAATGAAAGCTTACAAAACAACATCTCTTTCTTTTAGTTTAGTGGGGAAGAGAATAGTTCACAATTAATCATCCAGTATGTTTTGTTGAATCTATGTTTTGAGACAAGATCAAAAAAATAAATTATTTTTTATCATTCTGATCAATTTAGACTATGACAGATGTGGTTGGTAACCCTGAAGAGGAACGAAGATCTGACTTTTACTACCAACCCTGGGCTCAGGAAGCTGTGTGCAGGTACTTCTATGGAAAGGTGCAACAACGTAGAGCAGAGCTGGAACAAGCCTTGGGAATTCGTAACACATAACTGGTTCTAATTATACTTTTCCAGCAAAACTTTACTTGATAACTTGGGAAATGATGAATACCGAGTTTTTGTTCTGTCTAAGTATACATGCATATTTAGTGTAACATGATGTATTATGTTCATTAAATGAAATTAGGAACATAATTCTCTGTTCTTGTGATTAACTGTGGTCCGTAATATTTAGGTTGTGTTACATGTTCTACTATCCTTACCACTGTCATCAAGGTTGTTAGCCAATTATATTTTATTTTAATAAACATTTAAGCTCAGTGTGTATATTTCTATCTTATATGTGTACAATAAGAAACAGTTTATTATACATGATAAGCCATAGCAATCCCTCCTACTCATAAGATTGCTAAAGGTACTAACCAAGTTGTATGTATTTTTTGTACCTTTATAAAAGGATTTTCGGCATGCATGTACTCCTATTAACAGCAGTACACACTTTGAATATTTGTAATATTACACTGATTCAGTGATCGTGTAAGTACAGTGTAATCATAAAGGAAGACTTATTGTTTTATGTCTAGTTTTGTTTTCTTTTATTGTGGATTTGCTATATCCCACCCTGCATACGATAGTTACTTATTGCAGTTACTGAATAAGTAAATTTCAACTGTAAGCAACCTTTATAAAAACGTAATTAAATTACGAGAAATACGACTCTACTTGCAATACACATGCAAAATTATGAAGTCAGTTTTCATAACTCCAGTCTTTATATTTTATGTTTATTGTCATTCACATGTGACTGTTCAGACACGACATTGGGTGGAATCTTGTCAATTGTATTTAGAAGGCATTCTAAAGTCATACAGTGATACAGAAGATTAGGTATATTGTGCTCGCTACTATGGTGTGTTATTAATACTCGCACTGCCTAGTTTTGTTAACTGGTACCAATGTTTTTAGTAAAACATTTTACAGAATATGAGCCAAATTAACCCATAATCTTGGAAATTACTGGAAAAGACCTAGTGACCTTTCATAATGTATGTATAAAAAATAAATTACTTAGATAAAAAAAACTACACTTCCAATTGAATCCATCAAAACAAAGTTTCACTTGATGAGAAACCAATAAGTTTTTATCGTTAAATAAAATAATATTTTGATGAAACTTAACTGAATTTGAACAGAATAATATATCTACTGCTTTATCTTTTCTGGAAAACTTAAATGTATCTGCATGTAGTACTTATATTTAAGGGTTGATAATCCTACTAAAAGGTAGTGGCTCTGTTTAATTTGTGGAAATCATATAACATTTATTAATAACTAGTTCTTATAACACACACGGAGAGGCGTGGATCTATTATCCATTTCGATATAAATATTTTGCATACAGGCTGAGGTAATTCCAATTAATTAAAACATGATTAAGTCATGAATACATGTTATGTATAATGGAATACATATTAATTGAATCTCAGAAACAGAAATAAAATTTTTCTTCATGATTGGCATAGCCAAAGAGAGAAGTGAAAACTGAAAGCTGCAGCGTGGGGTGATTTAACTTACTTGTTCAAAGCATCTGCTGATCTCAGAAGAATTATGTAAAATATACTCATAAAATATCAACTATTCAAACGTGAGCTTAGCCTAGTGGTCCAAGATTTACACCGATATTACATCAGCTAAGTTCCACAATATCAACTGTGGTTGAATTATAACAATGACAGTCATTCAGTTCATCAAAGACTTACTGTCGCTTGCTGCTGACAGGCTGCTTTTCCTTGGTTAGTACGTAATTCAAAATTACAGACGGCTGTATCTGATCCCTAGGGTCTTTGACCCTACCGTTTAGCTCATGTATTTGTAATATTTATTGTCCTTCGGTGGCAAACTAAAGATTAAAATGACAAAATTGAGGGTCCAATCCCTGCATTGAATACAATTCGGACAGCCCAAGTGAATTGTAATATTCAATAATGCAGTCGAATCTAGGTTTTGCACTGTACGTTATATTTTTATTCAACTAAGTTAGTTGTAATTGGAATATTTTTCTAAACAACTTCATAAACTAATAAATAGCACTGTATAGTCAACCTTTATATAATAAAAGTATCTTCATTTGTTTCTACTTATTTTACTAATCTGAATGCAATGTGTTTTATACCCTAATAGTTTATTACCGCGTTTGAATCTTTTCGGCAATGTGTTAGTGATAATTTAATACTTTAATTTCAGCAACATAGATGGCAGCAGCAGTGAAGTGTAGATGTGATTACGTCAGAACCAAGAAATTTGAAGAAATATCAAATATCCATATACTTTCTAGTGAACTTTATCTAAAACCACCCCCAAAACACATATATAATTACTTTTAATTAATGTCTGCCTTCATCACATATGTTAAAACCCAAAATAATTTAGTTGAAAGTGTGGTACATAATAACACAGACAACCAATCAGAAATACTGAAAAAATAAAAACAGGAACATGATTCTGTATTAGAATTTTCAATCGTACTTAACACGTGGGTTCTGACATATACAAAAATTAACTTCATGATGGAGTTGTTTATTTACTTATGCGGAAAGTGTAAATCACTCTACGATCAATCTAAAAAAAAAAATTGCAAGATTTATAATTTCCTGCAACTTACGAATCACCTTTGTTGTTTTTGCTTTATTTATTTTATATTTTCGTGCATCTGTAATGTCTTATTGGAAAGTAATATCGTGTTTTTAAGGCTTATTCTTAACTGAGTTTATAGATGCTAAATGAAAGTAAAGGTGTCATATGGAGATAAATTTACTTATTGATCTGAAGAAAAAAAAATCGTAGTGAAGATTCAAGTATGAGATGAAGTTTGTAAATTAATGATTAAGTTCTAAATCTTTATTTTACTCCAAACATAAGGTTACGAAGGTCTCTTCTGTACAGTATTATTGTACTACAGTCACTGCACTGAGACTAAACGAACAGCTTGGTTTAAACAACATTATCATAATGAACACTTTACGAAACTAAACCTAGAATTTATGCATTCAAAATAAACCCTTCATAACATAATATTAATCCAAAATCAAAACAGTCAATTTCTACGATGTACGCACTAACCCTAAAAACAATTATATTATCGTGTCACTCCCCCTTACACAACAGTGAAATGTTTTAATCTACACACAGTTCGGATATTTCACTATCGTTAAATTAAGTATTTCAAACGGGACTAATTGTTTAAAAACAAGCTGCGCTTTACTTTATACAAAATGTTCTAACGCCATGTGATTACCAAACCTGTTATATATTATATTAAAATATTTACATGGCGAAAACAACTGAAACAAAGTCGCGGTGGAATGGTATGTATCAGAACTACATTTTGACATTGTCATTTTGGAGGTAGTATGTGTGATACCAGCAAATATTGAGAAGGATATGTGACAGCCCTTTCGAAAGTAAAATAATAATGAAGCAAGATTATAAAAACGGATTCATTAACTGCATTAAAAAACAAAGTAATATGGACCCACTTTCATACAAATCTACACAAAGCCATTCCTACTTTTGAATAAATATAGTAGAGGGTTTGTTTGGAATTAAGCACAAAGCTACACAGTGCGCTATCTGTGCTCTGCCCACCACGGGTATCGAAATCCGGTTTCTAGCGTTGTAAATCCGCAGACATACCGCTGTGCCACTGGGGGGGGGGCAGACTAGAGGGAAAACAATTAGTCAATGCCAACCAGTACTAAATCTTTGGTTAGCCCATGTAATGGAGTTTAACCATCATCTTTATAACGCATCCACGGCTCATAAAGAGCGGAGCTGTCTGCTGTGTCCACCATGGAGAATCGAACCCTGAATTTTAGCGCTTTAAGTCCGTAAACTTATCGCTGTTCGGGCCGGGAGATCGATAAGGGGAGGCAACCAACAGAATCGCAGCTCCGCAGTCCGACACGTTAACGATTAGGCGCTTTCGGCCCAACTTTTAATCTAATAAAATGCAGTTTTTTGTTACGCGAGTTCATATAGTGGGAAAGAAGATTTTTACAACAACAAAACGTTAAGACACTAAGAAACGCGTGCGAAGCAAATATTAGATAAAAAACACGCACACTAATAATCGCGCTACATTACTATCCAATAAATGTTTGAAAAAGTTTCACGAATGTTGTACAAAAATTAAATTTTCATACAGATTATTTTTTGACGTTGATTATACGCGTTTAAAAGATTTGATAAGCTGCTCAGTTCAGAAACATTTAGCCGAGCTTGTTAACTACTTGAAAAACGTAATTTGATATTTCCCAACTATTTTATCATTTTATGATTAAATACATAATCGGGTATAGGATAACACAGTAAAATAATATCTTGCTAATAGACTTTCATCAATAATAACGCTCATAGGAGTGAAGATTGAATCTGACAGAGAGCCTTTTGCTAAATTTTGAATTCTAAGGATACCGTCTACGCAAACAATAGCTACACCCATTACGTTGAACTGTTAAACAAAATAGCTGACGACTTGCAAGATAGCACGTGCTATTCGTAATTTTAAGAAAGCCACTTTATTGGCCAAATAATTACATCCATTAACGTCATATTTCAATTAATCTTGACAAAATAATTATACTAAAAGCTACAGAGACCTTACGTTCAGCATAGAATTTCATCAGCTAAATATGGGGTAAGAGGGAATGTTACATTGTCAGTATAAGTGTAGATATACTAAATGTTGCAATATGGAGATTCCATAAGAAAATTAAACTAATAAATGGTGTTCATCGAAAGCTGAATAGCCACCAACATCTTTAAAGAATAATTACAACGATACTCTGCTGCCGGTGGGTTAGTGATGAGGATAAGGGCTTGCAATGCTAAAATCCGGGGTTTCGATTTCCCGCAGTGGACAGAGCGCAGATAATCCATTGTATAACTTTGCGCTAAAACAAATACAACTATAAATATTGTTCCGCCAGGACAGAAGAGTGCAAAATAAGAAGAAAAACAAAAAGGTTTTCAAAAGATGTAGGGAAGTCTCCAATAAATATTATATAACTAATTTCTAGAAGAGTATAGTTACTAATTTGAAAAGTAGATCTTTGGTGCATAATGGACCTTGTTTTTTTTATCACTCATTCTCCTGTTTCTTTGTATTCTGCTTCATTTATACAGTGCATATTTTATTGTCTTTTAGTCACAGTAGCTATGAAGCAGTATTTGTTTATATTAAACTTTCTGTGTGTTTATTTGTTCGCGCAAAGTAACACAAGAACTATCTGCACCAGACTTTCCTAATTTTTAACTTGCAGATTAGAGGGAAGGCAGTTAGTCAACAGCACTACAAATTCTTGATTAGTTGGATTTGCTGGCCACTCTTATAACTTATCCACACTCCTTAAATGCAAAGCGCGTTTTCTTTGCATGACGCGAACCATGGACCCTCGAATCCCCAGTTCGGCATACTAATACCAAAGCACGCCCAGCTCATTTATATACGCAAGTGGAAGTTTCTTTTCACCATATTGCACTCTAATTATAGATATGTGGAGGATAAACTGTGCTGCT